AAATTGCGACCCGGGAGATAACGAGTAAAAAGCACTCACTTTCAGAATTTCCGGTCCCGCAGGCAAAACTGCGTAACATATTCCCCATGGATGGCTGGCGTCTGGACGTCTAAGTTCCACACTTTTCAATTCCTGCTGTTGATGCCGCCGCTTATCCATTATTATCAGTGATGCCAATTGCACATACTCGTGCCTTTTTATGTGTTCATTTATAGGCCGCCACCCACGCAATGCCAAACACATGCTGCGCATTGGACAGCATAAAATCTACCAATTGGTGGTTGAATGTAGGTGCTATGCACTAGTTGGAGGGTCACAAAATTACCAGACCGTAGAAGGCCCTAGAATAACAATTTTGTTCAAAACTTCTAATCAAGGTGGTCTGGCACTAAATTGGTTCTGAAGTTGTCCTTTAAATGCGTATAGAGTTTCAACTTGATTACCCATCTAACGACGTGTTACAATTGATCGATTCGAATTTCGTGCGTAAATTAAGAAGGATTTATAAATAAACAATTAGTTGGAGTTTGCGGGAAGGATTCCTCATTTTATTGTTCACCAACGTGTTAAGTGAGAACTAGAAATGGTTAATAGTGAATGCGGTATTTGTTGGTGATATAAAAAACTGGAAGTTGTTGCTAAAATAAAGCACTATTTCCTTTTACTGTTCTTGTCAATAAAGCTCTGGACAAGGTCGCTAAAAAGAACTCAGTCAAACTGTCCTTTGGCTCATATGGCCAGGAGTTTAATTTGCACAACCTTAAATTACCTGATGTATAGAAGGTTTGCTTCTTTGCTTTGGCCAATTCGTACACGAATGTGGCCCATTATGCGAAGTATACCCTTTCATTATGTGCACAAGCTCGAGTTTAGGCAGTTAAATTAGTATCAAGCTTAAACTGAACACTGAAAAGAGGAGGCCGCTTCCTTTGTTTTTGTGAAAATAAATTAATGCGAAGAGTTTTTATGGTCGTCAAAAGTAACACGCTGCTTGAAAAACAAATGTTGTGTCAACTTAATGGACAAATAGTGATCGCACTCAAAAATTTCCGGGTGGGATTTTGCTCACCTTGTCGCGCTGCTAAAATTTATGACAGGTCATGTGCTACAACACTGCTCAAATATTTGTCTACTTAGATGTATCCAGTGTGAGAGGTCTTATTTGAAAAATAGTTAGTAAATAAAATTGTTCTATTGCACTTCTCGTGGGATCGCATGGAATGCATTAGTCATACCGTGATAGTCGAATTAACCTGCTATTTTTGCCGCTCTTGTAGGGAAACTTTGCGTCATTGCAGGACTGCCCATCTTGTTTATTGTACACAGGTAAAATTCGGCCAATTTCCTTCACTTTTGCATTCGGTCCCTTAATCCACTTCTGCCTACTGGCATGAGGGCAGTAAGAGGTGGGAAAAAATATTCAATTTTCCATTTTGGCAAGAACGAAGGCTCTTTGTCGTAATATTTCTTCCGATTTAAAAGAAGTGATGAATGATATTCTTTTGGGACTGTGGATCCTACTTCCCTGCTCCTATTTGTCAGCTGCATTCAACTATAAGGATTGTCAATAG